TTCTCCACTTGGACATAGTTTTATTTTTAAACACAGCTTCCATAAATGCATTTGTGTGGGATTGCAGTTGGGACCAGTGGAGAGCCATGGCACTCTGCCAGGCAGTCACCCTGTCCCTGCAATACAGATGGATTGCCAGGGTTCTGGAGAAAAACAACCCCAAAACTTTAAACAAATTGTGCTTAATGGAAATAAACATTTTTTGCCCTTCTCTATAATGATTTGGATAATGTGCTGGCTGTGTGTTTCTGGAGGACAGAGGAAAAGGGAAGGGGAGAGGAGGGCAGAGACAGCTCTGTGTGCCTGTAACTTGCTCTCCAGTGGATTCTCTGGGAAGGCTGTGGGAGAGCCTGTCATTTCTAAGCTTGGAGCGTTTTGTAACTTTCAGCCCATCCTTCTATTAAAAGGTGGGCAGGCTGGCTGCTGCCAGCTATGATAAGAGCATTTATCTACTGGTTGGTTTCTTCCATATATGGATTTGAAAGACCAGGAAAGGCATACAGAACCACATTTAGGTTGGAAAAGACCCTTAAAATCAAGTCCAGTTGTTAACCCACCACTGCCAAGTCCACCAATTAACCAGATCCCCAAGTGCCACATTTACACATCTTTTAAACACCTCCAGGGATGGTGATTCCACCACTTCCTGGAGCAACTTCTTCTAATGATCTACTTCTTTCAGTGAAGCAATTTTTCTAAATATCCAATCTAAATATTCCCCGGTGCAATTTTAGGACATTTCCCCATGTCTTATTACTTGTTACCTCGGAGAAGAGACCAGCTCCCACCTGGTTACAGCTTCCTTTCAGGTGGTGTAGAGAGGTATATGGTCCCTCCTTAGCCTCCTTTCTCCAGGCTAAACACGCCCTCAGCCACTCCTCATCAGAACCATGTTCTGGAGCCTTCCCCAGATCTATTGCCCTTCTCTGGAAGTGTTCCAACACCTCAATGACTTTGTCATGAGGAGCCCAGAACTGAACACAGCATTCGAGGTGTGGCCTCAGCAGTGCTGAGTACAGGGGGACAATCCCTGCCCAGGTCCTGCTGGCCACACTATTGCTGACACAGGCCAGGTTTCCATTGGCCTTCTTGGCCACCTGGGCACAGCTGGCCCATGTTCAGCTGCTGTCAGATGGCACCTCCAGGTCCTTTTCCACCAGGCAGCTTTCCAGCCACCCTGCCCCCAGGCTGTCATGTTGTGTGGGGTTGGTGTGAATGACCCAGGTGCAGCACCTGACACCTGACCTTTGCTGGCCTCATGCAGTTAGTCTTGGCCCATGGATCCAGCCTGTCCAGATGCCCCTGCAGAGCCTTCCTGCCCTTCAGGAGATCAACACTCTGCCCAGCTTGGTTTGAATTGCAAACTGACTGAGGGTTCATTCGATGTCCTTGTCCAGATCATTGATAATGACACTGAACAGCACTGGCACCAGTACTGATCCCTGGTGAACACCAGGTGTGACCAGTTGCCCACTGGATTTAACTCCATTCACCACCACTCTCTGGGTCTGGCCATCCAGACAGTTTTTCACCCAGAGACAGTGCACCTGTCCATGTCAAATATATGCTTTGTATATTTATTGTGTACAGTGTTGGTGCTGTTTTCCATGTCATGCACCTGAGTTTTGCTGGGTTTTGGTGATAAGTGGCAATGCCATGAAACCAATACTTAGTTGAGATTGGCTTTTTAACATAAAGAAGGGCAAACAGAGTAGGCTGCAGGCTAAAGCCTACCTCAGAGAAGAAAAGGCACAATAGATATAGCTCTGGTTTTTCAAGCTGGTGCTGATAAATCTTTTCTCTCGCTTCTGTTGCTATGGTGTAGGTTCTTTGCAATAACAAACCTTTGGGTGACCATGTCAAATGCAGAGATCATTTGGAGAAAGAGATGCTGAAAGGGAAGGGAAATAGGAGGGCTCAAATTCCAGCTGAAGACAAACAGTGAATCAGTGTTTGTCTCAGCAGAGGGCCGTCAGAAATTTTGCACTTTTCTTTCACTGACTTCTTTTTGGGTCTAATACTCCACTTTGAAAAGGCTTCTTTTTACCTTCTCAAATCTTTTTCTTTCTCTACTTTTACTTTTTTTTTCTTAGTGCATAAAAGGAAGGTGGATCTCTTCCAAATTCCACACAGCCCAGGAATATTTGCTTTCTACAGCATGGCTCTAAACACAGAGAACTTATTCTTGCAAATTGTTTGATCCTCCAATCCACAAAATACTGGATCAAATTTTGAAGGTTTTTGTGGTTGAAATGTACCTGTTATCCTTTTTTAGGCAACAGAAGTGGTCACTAGACTTCCTTCCAGAGAAGCTGCTTTATCATGCTGTCATTTCTCACATTGCTTTACTGGTGAGGAGGAAGCAAAATAGTGTTAGGGGGGAGCCTTTACAATGCCTTCCAGTGTGCAAAGTACATGCATTTGGTTTTGTTCTCAAAATATACCTGTTGTGTTTAGCTGGCACAACTGTTGTGAAGAAGTTATCTTGCCCAGATGTCTTATGCTTGTGGAAAACACTGTGCTGGAAATTCCTAGATTTGCCTTGAAGGCTTATTTCTATTCTTGGGTCAAGGCTGAAAGGGAGGACTGTTTTCTTGTTTTATGAATGTTTCTGTGCAGATGGAGCTGAAAGTTCAGGAAGAATATAGAGGGGTAACCAATCTCAAGTGCTTACTTGCTCTTAACTGCTTTTCAAACTGCAAGTCCTGAAAATGGATTAATTCAGAATTTTGTACCTTGGCAACTGTGAGCTTTCTGACCTAGTTATATAGCCCCTTTGTTTTGCTGTTTCCTTCCAGATGTGATAGGCAGATGGAAAAAAATCAGAAGCAGCAGTATAGTAATCTGAGATTTCTTTTAAGGATATTAACTGATTTTTCTGGAACTTGGTTGAAGAAGTTAATTATCTCTTTCCGTGTTTTTAGCCAAGGTGCAATTCACTTCATTTTGCCTTCGTTTTGCAGACACTTAGGCGGTCCCCTAGCCTCTGCGCTGCACTACTTGTGAGAGTGAAAATATGTCAGGACAGTCAGACCTTCTGTGGACTGCCTCACCTGGCCACAGCTTAGCCAGCCATCCCTGAGCATCCACACCAAGTCTATCCTCCTGGCTTGTAGGAAGTGGCTGCCCACCTGTGAGCAGTGCCTCTGTTTGTCTCCTTGGAAGAGACACACACACACAGTGTTTTCCAGTTGTATTGGAATCTGCTTAAGAATTCAAAGGGCCCCAACCCATAACTGTTAGTAGGAGCATATAGTAATGGGCAAGCAAGGGTGGTCTCTGAGGGAGGAATTGGCAGTCTTTCAATTTGCTTTTGTGCCATAGGTACATTCAGTTATTCTGCTCAGGGAAGCCTGGCCCAGATAAGAGTGCCTACCCAAGAAAAGTAATTCAGCTCTGTGGATTGGATGGATTAGCAACTAGCAAATTAATATAAGGCTGATAGATCTGTGCTGGTTTCGTTTTATTGGTCTGATCCTGTCTTATATCTTTACCTTCTTTAAGGCACTCACTCCTAATTGAAAGCAGTGCCATTTCTGTAGGGTGAGAAACCTTAGTAGAACAAAACTCAAGCTAATGAGGCAGAAAACAGCATGAACAGCAGTCCAGTACTCCTCTCCCTCCTGTGCCTCTGGCACCCTTCTTCACCAGAGTTGAATAAAAAATAAAGTAGCAATAGAAAGGATCATGCAGGTAAAATCAGATGCTAACTTTAGTGAGCACACACCCATCTTTCCTCTCAAAGATGTTCCTGGTTTGGCATTTACAAGGTTAAGTTGTCTTTGATGCAGTAGGTCTCACAGCTGGGTGAATTGAATCTTACAGCTTTTGTGCTGTGAGCAGCCTGGTGTGTTGGCTACAGCATGAGCCAGCTCTGGCACTTACACTGGACTAAGGTTAAATCTGGTAAGTAGCTTCATGGGATCATCAAGTTCCGTGAGCATCTTAGGGGTCTGCAATACATCATCTTCATCAAAGCACACTTGGCATTAAATTTAGGCTAAGTTGCTTAGGGCTTTGCCCAGTCAGGTATTGAAAATCTTGATGAATGGAGATCCTACCACCTCTGTGGCACTTCTGTAACCAGACTGCCCTTGTGGTAGATTTTTTTTTTTTTTTGCCTGATTTAGTTAGAATCTCCATAGTTTTGATTTATATCCTGATAAATCCAAGTCCTCACAGTAATACTGGCCAGCTCTCTTAGGATCTTTGCAGGTATCTCATAGAGGTCCAGTAAGCTTCTTTGCATTGGTATTTTATCAAGAGAGAATTCCTCAATCCTGTTGCAGTGCAGGTGGTTCCTCTGCTCTTGAACCCTGTTTTGGTACTGGGACTAAGCCCTCTAACACCTTGACACTGTTTGCATGCCTTCCTGTGCTGTCCGGAGCAGGCTTTCTGCACATCTCACCCCAAATCTTTGTCTCCTACCTGGCCAACTGCCAAAGTCTGCTATTGGAAGCTGCACCCCTCCTTACCAGCTAAATAGCTGTCTCAGTAGCAGATGAATTTCCACAGATCCTGAGTCACTTGCTTTTGTGTTACCTTTATTCCTGTCCTGAGTGCTGTTTTGTGCAATCCAGTGGGCGAAGGGCACAGCAGACCTTCCTTTTATTAGTGGCATTAATCCTGTTAGCTGATTCCTTTTCCATGTATATGAATTTACCAGGAAGCTGTGTGAACATACCAGGAAACTGAGCTGAAGAACCAGATGTTGGTTTAGGTGGAGAAGCACAGGGAGATGTTTGGATAGAGGGTACTTGCTGGTGGCGACTTTGCTGTTTTTCATGGAATTAGAGCTACACTACTGAGAAACAAGTGTCTGAGTAAAGCTTTCTAACATTTGGTGATGTGTAAATTCTGAGGGATTTGGATAACATACAAAACAAAGGCACTGTGTAAAGTAAATGTCATTTGTGTGGCAGCAGCACCTCGGATGGTAGCAGGGACAAGAGCTTGGATCCCCCATATGTTAATAAAACGTTTCTCTCTGGTTTCTTCAGCTTGACCTCACCAAACCCATTGAAGATCAGGGCCCTTTGGATGTGATCATACATAAACTGACAGATGTAATCCTTGAAGCAGACCAGAATGACAGCCAGTCACTGGAGTTGGTTCACAGGTTCCAGGTAAGTAGTTCTTTCTGCATTTCAAGCAGGGGGATGATTTTGGTGCAGCAAATTCAGTCTGATTACTGTGCAGTTTGTAGGGATTTGATGAAAAGAGCTGTCTGGCATACTGCTGACTTGCTGCTGATAGCCTAGCAAAAGTGGTTTTGTCAGTTTAAAATGGACTTGCACCTTGGGAAGGTTTTGTTTTGTTTTGTATCAGTATGGTTAGTTAGAACTGGTTTCCCACCAAATGTTCTTATGTCATTTCAAGAGTATTAGTGGTGCTCACAAAGAGGAATGGTTGTTTGCAGATCACTTTACGTGATTCCCTCCATGACAGAAGCCACTGAATTAGTTTGGCCCAGCTCTGTCTAGTCTTCCCAGTTCCCGGAATGCTAATTTCTGCAACGTCAAGATTACTGTGAGTGACTCTGTCCTCTAGTGCTGAAAATCCTGTTATATTACTTTTTTTCCTTCAAGTTTACTTTGAAGGTCAGAAATATGCAGGATGTAGCGGTACAGAGAACTGTTTTCCCCAGGAAGTGTCTTCAAAGATTCTCTCCCACTTAAAAATCTTTTTTTTTTGGAAGATAGAGGATGAGATAGAGGGTAGGGTCCCTGTGAGGACCCTTCCCTCTGAATTATATCCTTCCTTAAGCTTTTGCTTCTGCAGGAGACTGAGTTGTGCCACATCACTGGCATGCAGGAAACTCCCACAGTAGTAAAACATAACCAGTACCCAGTGGTGCATAGCACAGGCCTTTCTGTTTTGAATTACATGCCAAAATGTGTTTTTAGAGTATACTCTCATGTAGTTTCATCTCCAGGGCAGAAACTATCTGCAAATTGCTGCCTGTCTCTGTTCTAATGATATTGAAAATCATTAGCAATTAAGAGAAGCATATTCCATAAAAAAAAGAAATAGTAAGAAAACTTTCGTATAAAGTGTGTGGTATAGGGTTGTTGTTTTGGTTTCTTAAAAATTAATGGGCAACCTAGAAAATGAACAATGTCCCTGTGCAAGAAAGCTGTTTGTAGAGTGAAGTGTTATATAAGCACTGTGGTATTTCTGGCACTTACACCCAAGTGGAATTAGTGTCGTTCCCTTATTGTTGATTAAGTTGACTGAAAAAGTTCTGATGATCTTAACCAGACCAAACAGTGCAAAATTCATTATGCTTTTTTTCCTGCTATTGAATATAAATGTGACAGCAAGATGATACCTGGCAGCAGTCTTACTGTTGGCTCCATAAAGCAGTCTTCCAGGAAGCGGACAGCAAGGGATCCTTGACCACAGGGGGAGGAATGATCTGCCAAACTACATTTATGACCTTTTTAAGAATGAATTTTTTTTCAGATCTATGTTATAGAGGCCTTGACCATCTAATCTGCAAAGAGCTAAAGAGGAAACTGGCTTCATGTTTACATGACTCCATGTCCCTGCTCTCTGGAGTCTGTGATGAGCCCTTGTAGGGTCTGGCAGAGAGTGCTAATAGAACAGGAAGCCTCTTGGCATGCCATTTTCTGACTGTTTTCAATTGCCTTGGAAAAAAAAAAATACAGAAGAATGAAAATGATGTGGAGGAGTTGCCTGTTGACAGTGGCATTTTTAGCTCCAGAAGACCATTAGGGCTGAGGTTTCTGGGGTCTTTGTGCTAGTTGGATGTGGTATGGACTGCAGTTTCTCAGGAGAATATTGGTGGGTGCAACTGTTCTCCACTGCACTGAAAATCAGTGATGAGTGCCTGGTGATCTCATCCAAAGCCAAAACAAAGATTGCATGCAGCACCTAGTGTAGTATGTGAGATGAAAAGTGGAGAAATACTATTACTTGCTTTTTAGGACACTTAAATCCTTATTTTGGGGGATGATGATTATTTGTAGAGATGACAGTCAGTCTCCCTCCCTGCCCACTGTAACACAGGGCTAAGCTGACTGAACACAGGTATTTAGTTAGCTGAAAATTGGTTATAGTTCTCGGTGGTTCCTCCTTGACCAGAGGTACATGCAGGGAAGTCAGGTGAAGAGGCAGAGTCCCCGGGGTGCCTTTCACTTGCTGGTGCTACAGTTCCTGCCTTCTTGGTATGGAAGAAAATCAATTACCTCAGTTCCTGCCTTCTAGACAATGTATATGGCTTTGAAAACGGAGTATGTTTTGGCTATGTAAGACTTCGGGGAATCTTTGTTATGCTCTCATTAGAGCAAAATGCTCTCTGAGCAGCTCCCTGTCATAGCCATACAGGGCCTTGAGTAGCTTCATTCATTGCAACTTCATATTGCATTCAAAATGATGGCTCGAGTCATGGAAAATCAATAGGGTTATTAATTTGTCTTTCAAACTTTTTCTGAGCGGGTTCTCTTTGCATTGGCCTACTTAAAAAGCCAGATCAGACACAGTTTTTATGCCTAGTGTTTTGCTATCAGGTTGATGAAAATTTAAAATGTTTCCTCCCCTCCTGCCCTTCAATTCTTCACTCTCCCACTCTGGAGTTGTGGATGGACTCTTCTAATCTTGATTGAGAAGCTTTTTTAGAAGGGTTTGGGACTAAGAGAAAGGAAAATAAGGGAGATAGTTTGGAAGGGAAGGAGGTAGGGGACTTCTCAGCTGAGAAGAGGCAAGCAAAAAACCAAAGGAAACTTGTATGTCATAGTAATTATTTTATAATTGGAGGGACAGGTTAATACAAATTTGAAATAGTCTATTTACACCTGAATTCACAGGCCAATACCTATGTTTTATACATTTGAAAAATAATGATGTCTAAAATTATTAGAAGAGCCTCATAACTAAAAATTTGTCATTCAAGTGCTAGGGGTTAGGATAGCTTCTTGTGGATAGGATTTGCAAGATGAAGGAGCAAAGGACATCTGAAGGCTACACAGGGCAGCTGAATTCTCAGAAAGTTTCTTTGAGATACACAGAGAATAGAAATGTAACAGAGAAGATGAGTTCCCCCTTCCCCTTGCTACACCCCTCATTCCTCCGAACCACTGCAGAAATCTCATTCAGATTTAGAGACAAACAATTTTGAGATGAGTGTTTATTGAAGACCCAATATGCCTTCACCTTTCCTTTTGGAAGGAGGTGTCCATGAAAAGGGACCATCATAGCCTAAGACAACAAAAAGGAGCTTTTAAATCTAAATCTGATGCAAACACTTCAGACAAGCTTTTGTTTACATTTCTTTCTCCCTTGGAAAATGTTGACATGTTTTTACAAGCAGTCATTGTCATGTTTCTGTATGTGGGAAAACACAAATCCAAATGGCATTATTGTTTCTTTTGCTTCCTTGTTTTCTTTTGGAATATTTTTTATGGAACTTTGTTTAATATTAAACAAGACAATATATAAGTTTTATTACTTATAGAGTGATTATCTTATCATCTGATGACCTATTATTTGCAGTAGATACTGTATCAACTTTCTGTTAAAATATAAAAAATAAATCATTAGCTACCTTTTAGGGTAAAATGACATGCAACTCTATTCTCATCTATATACAGGCTTCTCAAGGAAAGTATTTTTTTTTAATTCCTGGGTACTATCCAGAGGTATTTAATAGGGAACATGAAATTTTTGGTCTCTTCCTGATTTCAAGTTTCATCACTGGCCTTCTGGCAGTAATGGGGCTAGTACAAAACATGACTTAACACCAGAGCTGGAATACAAACAATGGAGGGTATGCTAAAATTCCTTGTTTGTTCTTGTTTGCTTTTATTATGTCAAAGATTAGAAAGAGGAAGATATAGATGTTGTCTGGGTCAAGTTGAACTGCAGCCCAAGGACAGAGCCCGTTGAATCTATTGTTGGAAAGTCTAAATATTTCCATGTTGTTGTCTGGGTGGTTGGAATCTGCTGTTGGATATCAGTCTTCAGTAAATCCACCAAAGTAGAGAGCAGAGTTGTTTTGCAGGAAGGATGAGAAAAGACTTGAAACTTCAAAGTTGAAAGGTAGTACTGTACTGAAGAGAGTATTGCTGTATTCTCTTGGCTTCAGTTTCTTGGTTTCTTTTCCTTCTTCAACTTCTCTTGGTTTCTTTTCCTTCTTCAACTGCTTCATTTCAAGTTCATGTCTATAGTAGCTCATCTGCTTTCACAATAATTAGGCAGAAACCCTACATGTTTATGCAGATCTGTATTTGCTGTAGTGGAGCCACTCTATGTTTTGGGAAGAGTGCTGTTACTTGGGCTACATCAAGAGTTTTCCAGTCTCTTAAGTGATCTTCACAGGTCACTTAGTGGTGCTACAGTTCTGCCTTCTTGGTAAGAAAGAAAACCAAAGTTCCTGCCTTCTATACAAAGTATATGACTTTGAAAACTGAGTATGTTTGTAGTTCATGATGTCTGAGTGTGCAGCAGCTGCTAATAAAGAATCAAAGTTTATGAAAGGTTTCACATCAGCTACCATAATTGTTCCTGTAAAATGAACAAAATTGACTTTTCTTCTTGTAATTTCCTGTTGTAGACAATTGGTGAGAAGTTCAGGTCTTTTAATTACTTCTTTAAAGTAGTTTTCTGTGCACAGGTATTGAAACTTTCTTTTGCATGTGTTGGTGATGTACTGGTGAGTGGAGTGGGAGACTGAGAAAGTGCTGGCAGTCTAAAGGCCTAAGGGGAAGCTGGAAGCCCCTACACAGCTTCAGCAATTAGTCTCTAGCTGTGTTCAAACAGAAAGGATACATACAAATACACTGATCTTGTTCTGCACTGAGAGTCTCTTTGAAAAGAGGCTGTTTCTGGATTCAATTAAAAGGAGAGACGTCTGGTCTGTCCCTAGATGAGCTCTAGGAGGCACTTCCAGTTTGAGGTCTCCCCTTAGATGACACAGATCTTCACTGCTCTGGGTTTTGCCATTCCTGTGCTTTCTAGCTGTCTAAGTTCCTAGGTCTGGAAATGGGTAAGAGTTGGAGAATAGTACCTGACATAGATTTAAAGCTGCAAAATTTCCTTGTTTTTTAAAGAAAGCTGTTCTGCTCAAAGCTCAGAAACCTTTGTTGTGTGTTTGAAGGGGCTGTTGTCTTGTGTTCAGTGCAGTTCTTCTTGACATTAGAGTAATTTGTTAAAGTTTTCCAGACTCTAAATGGCTTTTGGAAAACAGTTCCCACCTCCCTCATCTTCATCAGCTATTTCAAGTTTGCCTTACAGAGCTTTTTGGAGGCTCCTTAAGGCAACAGGAGGAGAAATAAGTCACTGGAAAGACAGCTTAGATGCTCATTTCTCTTGACATGTTGATTGGTGTAGAATGGCCTTGAGATCATTCCTTATTCCTGTTAAACTTTGTTATACTGTGGCAAGCTTAGTGCTTGAATGATTTTTAAATACGGTTTAGGCCTATTACCATTAGAAATAAAGCACTGTGAGGTTCCCTTACAGAAAGCACAAAAAAGCTAGACTCCCTCTGGAAATATTTAAAGTAACATGAGCCAAATTAACAAGTAGAACACATGAGTCCCAGGGAAGCAAGGATAGTTCTCAAGGCTGAGGTGTGATCATCAGGGAAATTCAGGAAGGTACACAAGGAGCTAAGAGACAGAAGAATCATTCCATCTTGGAGGGCAGTAAAGGCAATGGAGTCCATAGGCAGGAGGAATGAATGTGTGAGGGGAAGGATCAATATATACAGAGTAGGGTGTGGGCCAGGATGGAAATCCAGAGAGCTTGAAGTCGAGGTGGAACCAGAGACTGGTCGAGACAGACTGGTGGTCACCACAGTGTAAAAGGAAGAACTTGTACACGCATCAGAAGTGCTTGGCTGTCAGATCTCTGCTGAGGCCACCTTTCAGAGCTGTGACATGTTCAGTCTAGGTGCTGTGCTTGCCTCCTGCCCCATCAGGGTATGGGCTGTCGGTAAGGAGCTCATCGTCTCAGTGTGCTGGGAAAGACACACAGCGTGGTAACTCAATGTCTTTTAAATGGAGGCACAGATGGAGGCAAAGCTGTCTTGCTACACTCTGGAGACATTGAGACACTCAAGTACAGTTTGATTATCAGCAAGTTCAAGCTAATGCCCTAATCACTGGATCATGCTAGCTCCACAGGATGTGTTTTAGGTGCTGCATAAAAGGGTATGTATGCATAGACATGTGCGGATGTTTAAGAGGGATTAGGTAGTAAGATACTCTAGCTCTAAAAATAATAAAATCTCATCTGTATTTGAAAGCTGATTGCTCTTCTTTAGACTCTGGAAGTACTTGGGGCAGAAGACTCATGAAAACTATGTTCTGGGGTTTAGTGGCTGGAAATGAATCCAGTTTCTGCTCCACTGAGCTGATGAGGCTTTTTATCCAGGCTGTACTGCAAGGGTGAGACAGCAGCTAGGTCTGACAGTCTTGATGACCAGCTATGCAAAAGGCCGTCCCTTACATTTCCCATGTAGCAGCAAGGTTGAACATATCTTTGGGGAATTCATTCTTTGTCTTCTGCAGGGATTACTAAGTATGTCAGACCCAAATATTGCTGCTGAGGGGTGCCTCATGCCCTGTGAAGGAGAGCTGCTTGTGTCTTGTGGGTGATGCAGTAGGTTCATTAGACCCCAATGCTAAATCCTCTTAGCCTCAAATGAATAATCTCCTTTCAGCAGCCATCAGTTCAGACTATGTAGTCACCAGGAAGCAATAGTTTCCCAGTGCTGGGGTGGAGAAGTCTGCATTCCAAGGTAGTATCTGGAGCAAAATCACTTTCTGGGAATAGTTTATGCCATTCTTTTCTCTCCAGCAAAGTGCATCTCCTGAGGCCATCTCATCATACTCTGAATTATCTTTTGTAGTATGTTTTCTTCTTTGAAAAAATCAATTTAAATGAAGTAGAATGTCATGGAAGCCTGTTAACTGTAGGAGCTTTTGCATGAATGGATTTAAGGAAGTAAATGGAAACATTAGGATGGCTTTGGGAAGTTGGGTAAAACAAAGAGAGATGCTAACTTTGGATATATTTGTCTAATTTTGAGTAGAGTAAGATGGATGTATGTTTCCCACTGACTTTATGGAGCCAGGTTGGGGCAATGATGAAGGAATTTGGCTTCTAAGAAACAGAAGGAAATTTTGTTGGGTTTGCAAGGCTGATACCTGGCAGCTGTGTCTGTGTTCCTGGCCAAGATGCAGTAGTGCATTCATGACCTCAGTGAAGAGGGAATTGAGTTCCCAAGATGAAGATCTGTGAGGTCATTAACTTTACTTTGTTCTTGTAGTCAGAAAAGGAGAGTATGAACATAGAGAAGTAGCAAGCAATGAAGATTACAGTGAAGCAGCAATCTCTTCAGCTCTGCCAAAAAAAATTTCAGCCCTTATCGTTCAGCCCTTGACACTGTCTTAAGCCCAGATAGAAGACAGCAATAAAAACAACATAAAAGAACGCAGATGTATTTCTGAGCCTAGTTCAGATAGTGTGGTGTTCACATGCAGTAATTGAATGCAAGGCTGACCCCAAGATAGCTGTATGCCATCTTTCTTATTATAATAGCTTTTCTCAGTCCTGCTCTCAGTTCTTACTATGGCACTTTGCCACTGGCTCCTTTGTGAGCTAATATGGTTGCAGCACAGGTTTTGCTACTGATAGAGTCTAGAGGAGGAATTTGCCATCTTAACCAGTTAGCTGTCATGTTTGTGTTTGTTTCAAGTGTCAGTGTTTTAACTGTCTGGGGACTTTCTGCATTGCCAAAGTCCATTTGGCTCCCCTTGAAGAGAATCTGGACTTTTAACATTGTATATTCTCTTCACCATTATTTTCTCTTCTCATTATTTTTTTACACTCTTCAGCCAACCTAATGCTGTTTTTTCGCTGTATATTGTTTTGCAGGAGTACATTGATGCTCATCCAGAAACCATTATCCTAGACCCTCTCCCGGCTATTCGTACACTTCTGGATCGATCCAAGTCCTATGAGCTAATTCGGCGAATAGAGGCATACATGCAAGGTAGGCCAATATCTGTGTTCCCTGGAGGCTATTACTGTGACTGGAGAAGAAAGCAGCTTCCCTCTGGAGGCTGGATGTGGAGTTTGAAGTAGTGGTTTTGTGCCCCTTGCATTGTCTCTCCATGGGAGCACAAACACTGAAGCATTCCTGTGTCACAGGATTGCCCTCTGGAATCCTGTGCTCTTCTTTTTCCATATACACGAAGGAGGCTTGTATCTGATTAAAAATACGATGTGGATTTAATGGAGAGCATATTTACCACAGTGAGCACTCTCAGAAATCTTCTGGAAAACATTGCCTTTTTGTTGTGTGCTGGTAAATTGAAATGACTGTACAAACTCAGCAGCTTGTAGTAAGAATCCTGAGGCCTGAAATTGAGAGAGAAGAAGAAAAATTTGTTTTGGAAAGGATCAAAAGAAATTAAAGTGTAAATAGAGTTAAGGTCTTTGAGAAGTGCAGGAAGCCTATTGCACAACCTAATTGCAAGGAGGAACATAAATTCATGTCTGGTGCTGGTGCTTGTTACCTGACATAAACTATTGCCCTTAATTGGTATCATTTGAGTTGTATTCCATGTTAGGAGTCATGCCTTTTCAACCTGAATAGTTCTATTACCTTCTCATTTTAACCATTGCAGCTGTTGGTTTAAGTTAGTCTTTCATTCCCTTTCTTCTGCTGGTGCTGTCATGTTCTTGAAACATTTATTGGCTTTTGAATTTAAATGTAGAACAGCTCTAAAGTAACTCTTTCATATGTTAGATGACTGTAATCGAGGGAAATTGCATTTCTGAACTATATTCTAATGGGATGTAATTGGAAATACCATTGAGATTGTATTATCACTGTCTTGGTGGGCAGGTAAGAAGCTCAGCAATTTGTATTTTTATAGTTGTGGGTTTATGGATGTATTATTTGTATATAACCTGCCTGGCCCCACTCATACCATTCCTCTGTAGAAATAAGATTAATAATTCACATTCCCTCTTGTCTTTTGGAATCTCTTAGGGAGAAAATCCTCAATTAGTTTAGAATGATTTTGTTTTGGAGGGGCTTTTGCTGTTTGTGAGTGGGAGAAAGGTGCTGAGAGAAACTTGTGCTCTGAGGGAGTGATTGGGATTTTGTTGTAACAGCAGAGAGATTCAGTAGAGTTTGGTTTTGTTCCTTTTTCTTTTAAATTGCTATCAGTACTATTGTTATCCCTATGAGAACAATATGTTTGGGAGAGCAGTTTTTGCACATAGTTTGTCTTCCGCATATTTCAGCCTGCTTTGGTCAAACTGATGAGAGAAAGAAATAAGTCCTTAAGGGGGAAGAAGGAAATTTGTATTCAGGTAAGACTGACAATTCAAAAAGAAGCTGTTAATAAAGTTGAGGAATGAAGTAAGGAATGGAGTAAGCTATTGTCACTGGCTGCTGCATTTTAAACTACTAAAATGGTTTAGTAACCATTTTTCCCCTGACCCTCTGACCCCTCCCCCCAGCACTTTCCTCCCCAGTCTTATTTCTGTCTCATAATCAGAAATATCATGACCAAGACCTTGAACCAACTCTGTATTTAGCAAGGGAAATCTCATGAGAGATGAATAATTGTCTAACTGCTTGTTCTGGCCCAAGTAGATCAGCCTCTGTATTCCTGCACATGATGATCTGCAGTAAAAGTTATACCACTCTAGGCAGTGCTGTGGGTTTTCGCCCCTTCCTTGTTTTCACCTGCTAAGTTGTGTTTTCTCTGTTGCAGCTACCATCTCATATCCCAAGGCCATGAGCACTTAGAAAACCCAAACAAGAAGTAATACATCTGTGAATAGCATGAACTCTTAGGAGCCACATCTTTATTGTTCTGGAATTTCATTATGGAAGTAACTACAAAGAAAATAATATCCTAGTCTTTAGCTGTAACTAGAGAGGCTTTTTTTATCACAGGATACAAAATTAATGTGATGGGTTAAGTTCAGTGCAAGGGATTGTGTCGTCTGAAGGAGTGTTGTTAACTCGGGAGGGCTGAGTTTATCTGTAAGGAGAAGCCTTCCGCTATTCAAAGTCTTTCAAAAGAAAATTTCGGTTTTATTTACAGATCAGTTTTGAATTTCAATGATTATTGCCTCTATTTCAATTATGTTTTTAAGTAACTATAAATGAAGTATAGTCTTTATTTGTGATCCTCAGTTTACACTTTATTTTAACCCTGTAGACCTTATGACAACTGTATAACTAAAGATTTGCACCAGTTAGGTTAAAGAGAGAGTGACCACGTGCTCTTGTTGAAGTGACTGCATTCTGCAGCAGTAGGGCCCCATGGTCTATAAACAGTTTGATTTTAACTCTGATTATTTTTTAGATGTCCAAGTTACTGTCCTTTTAACAGAGAACTCTCCATGCTTCCTGAAAAGGGAATCCCTATTTGAAGTGTCTACACTTGAGCGCGTGGACACTGTTAGGCTTTCTGAAAGTCCTGTATCTTGCTCTTTATGGAGTCAAGTGTCTGAGTGATAAGTACTTTGATCCAGCCTCCTGAGAATGGTTGCTGAGACACTTTGTGGCTGAGACACTCCTTGTCTCTGCTACCAGTCTGTGGCTGCTAAAGGAACTGAGGCGGAGGAGAGGCGGTAACTCGGCCAGAGTTGTACCAGTGGTCTGAGGGAAGGCATGGACTCGAACCAGGGCTTTCCATGTCTTAGTCTGACACAGTAACCCCTCACTCCTTTTGGAAATAAAAGGTTCACAGACTTGCCCAATCACTGAAGTTGGAAAAGGCTTCTTGAGAATATCCAGTCAACTCCCTGCTCAAAGCAGAATCTCTAAAGCAGGTTCCTCAGGTCCATGTCCAGTTGGGTTTTTGTGTTGTTCCACAGATGGGGACTGCATAACCTCTCTGAGCAACCTGCTCCAGAATGCACCTTGAGCCTGGTGTGCTAGCATGCTCCTAGCAGTGCTGAGGTAATTTTCAGGGATTGTGGCTTTATTCAGCATAGACAGTGATACCTCCCTTGGAAGGAAGTAGCACTCTCTTCTGAGGGAAAAAAAGAGCTTTTAAGAGATATTTTAACATTGATTTTAATGGATTCTGTTTTGGAAATCAGTAGTCTGTCTGGAGCTGTTGCTTCCTCTTTTTCCTGGTCTCTGTTATTTTGAGTGCAAGCTCTAAAAGAGCTAGTTATTCTGCAACCTATGCTTCTAAATATTTTTTAAAAAAGATTTGAAAAAATAAAGGTTGTATTCCAGCTGGTGTCCTCTATAGCTGCATGTTGAAATGAATCACTGAATAGACTTTTTTGGTGTCACAGTTGTTCTCTCAGCAGTTGTGTTGCTTTGTTTACTTTATCTGAAGAACTGCTTCGTACATAAAAGTGCTCTTGATCAGTTTCAGTGATGTTTGGTGAAAGATTAGGAGCATTATTTAGTAAAAATTTCATTTTTGACAGGGTATTGTATGGTTGGAACTGTGTCAGCTTTTTTAAACTGTAAGCTAATGAAAACAGTGACATTTTCTGATTCTGTCTTGAAAAGTTGTGATCCTTCAGGTTTGAAATTCAAAATCTGAAACTTAAAATTATGCTTAAGATGGTAATGGATGATCACTGTGACTGGGCACTAAGATTTTCAGATTGTATTTTTTTTTAAAGATTGAAAGCTTTTGAAATTCCCTACATATCTTACAAGTAATAATCCAAATTGAAGAAACTTAAATGAAAAGTGAAGTAAACATGCTATTCACTCAGTGTGCTATCTAGTTAGTGTTCCCATCTCCTGCTCAGCTTCCTTCTCTGTCTCAAGTGACTTACTGGTTTCTCTGATAACGTTTGAACTTCCAGACCCTGAAGTTAATTTCTTTAACCACTTGCTCCTGGCTTTTTCTTCCATTGTTTTCAAATTTTGTTGTTCTTAAATTTAGTTAGAAATCTCAAATTTGTACAGACAATAGTCTTTGTGAGGCTCTCCTAGAAAAAAAACAACTCCTGCATGAGCTGAGCTGCAACTCCTTAATTTCTCTCTTCCTAGCAGTTGTCTTTGAAGCATGGGAGCTATTTCCTCAGGATACTCTAAACAGTATGCACCCCTTTAGCTTTGATATTTTCATCCTGGCACGTAACCAAAATTATTTACATTTGATTGTTTACTATTATATAAGATGCAGCTGCTGCTGTCTGTGCTTCTTTCTCTTTTTGGGGGATATTACAGAACAGATCACAGCACCTTTCTCTATCCCCTGGATTTCTTTTTATCAGATTCTGTTTGTCTTAGAAATACTCCTCTCACAGCTTCATGTATCTTTGGTTACTAGGAGGCAAGCTCAGTATGGTGAAATGAGTAAGGCATTTGATTTGGGGCCTGGGGTTTTCTGCTTGCTGCATGATTTTGGCCATGGAGTGTCACCCCTGTGCATCCTGACATTCATCTGCATGTCAAGATGCCACATTGTTTGGGCAGAAACTCTTCTCCAGGTATACAAACACTATTCCCATATAGCAAGTCTCTGTGCCAAGCAAGCTGTGGAGGTATTGCTCTAACAGAATGTGTGGACCTGTTGTTGAATAGAAAACTGCATCTACAATTCAGCACCAAAGCAGATAGGTAGTCAGGTCTGGGTTTTTAGACGTTATGGAGCATGTACATTGTTGGAGTAGTGCATACTTGGAGCTTCTCAAAATCAGGCCACCCAGTTAAAAGTGCATGAAAATAGCTGTATATACATAGCTTAAGGCATTCACCTTTTGAAACTGTAGCCTCTTTTCGCTGTGGCCTACTTTTCAGAGCTGTTTTGGTCAGAGGGGAGAGAAGAATAATCACACAGGTCAACTTCAGACACCTCTTATTTTTATTTGAAGCTCCTATTAAATTAAAGTCAGATTTTTCTTTTCACTTTAAGCCTCTTAATCACCCACCTGGCACTCACTTCTTTATGTAGGGACATATAAGTAAGGTATATTTAGTTAGAGGGCAGATGTCAGCTACTGTAAATAACCACACCAGTTTTTGGGTGCAGATTGTATGCTCTCTTT